TGGGGGGGGGGGGATTCTCTTGATGATGCAGGGGGTGATGAGCTGTCCTGAGTGCAAGAACAAGCTCCAAGTCAAAATCTCAGCTGATGATGTATGTTGTTTTGTCTTTTTGTTACTATGTATCAGTGTTCTGATTCATGTCAGCATACACTATATAATTCTATCTTGAAAGGAGAGAAATTATTATGAATAAGAATCAGAACCAAGTAAAGAGATGGTACTGACTAGGTATAGTTTATTAAAAATTTTATCGCCAAAGAGAGACGGCATGTTCAGATATAGAACTCTCCTTACGAAATATCAAATATCTGATATGGCATTACATGCGCATTGTTGCTGCAGATCATGGAACCTCCATGGAAAGCCTATAATGTGCTGAGGAAGATGGATTATCCCTATGAGGTTAGCCTTAAGTCCATTGATTCACCCAAGCTTCATGTGCTAAGTGCTAACCATTTCTTGTTGTTTCACTGGCCGTGTTTTTCTGTGTCAGCACATCGTCCACAGCATGAAAGATCCCAACATTGCAACATTTTGGTTGATAACTTTGCCTCAAGTCGTGGGCGGGTTTGAATATGATGAAGATGTCAAGCGGAAAATATGGTGGCAATATGAGGTAACTAAGCCTTTTCTCCTTTTTTACGTCGTTGTCGTAGTCCTATTTTATCCACCCGTCTTTTCTATCTCCTTTTGTCAATAGATTATAATAGGATCATTCAACTCACATGATCTGCATTGTATAGGATTTTATGTAGTATCACTTAAAAGTACAGGAGGTTTAATAGATTGTTTTGCTCGTTTTAGCGTAAATCTTCACTGAGATCCAATTTTTAATGCCTTGTGTGGTTAGGAATCTATGAGGTATGATCAACTTCGGGATTTGGTGGCTAAGCGAAAGCCAGGCTGGGAATATTTGCAGGAAGTAAGCTCATCTCTTTACATGTAATGGAAGTTTTTGTATAGTTTTGCTGTCTTAAGATTTGGCATGCTCTCACGGGAGCATGGGGATAGAATCTGGAATAAAGTTAACTGGCATTTCTAAAACCGGTTTTTAACTTCAGTAATCATCAATTTAGTTTATCGTTGACAGGCCCTTATCTCCATTGATCCTGTTCGTGCCCGCGAAGATCCTCTCATAGTGAAAAACGTTCCTTATTACAAAGCAAAGAAAGCATTGGAAGCTGAAGTCATGAAACTCGATGTTCCGTCTCGTCCTCAGAACTGGGGTGTATGTATATGTCCACTTATATCGATATAGATTCTGCATATGATATTTACTTGCTTCACTCTCAGACACAGGCATTGTGTAAACTTAACTGGAGAACATTCTGACAGGACTTGAACCTTCCGTTGAGTTCTTCCTCTTGGAGTGAAGAGGATCTCAAAGATTCGGCAAAGCTTTACGAGAAGACTGTTCTTCTCAACGCTCAAAGAGAAATCGCTGACAAGATCTTGGATGCGCAGTGGGAAAGTAAATGGCGTCAAGAGAAGGTTAGTAATCCTCAAAGTTTTAATCTTTCATCTCTTAAGATCTTTAATCAATAAAACCGATAACACGATCCCGGTGAAAGATTTTATCCTACCACTCACTCCATTCTTGGTTGAACTTTTAAACATTACCAATCAAGAACAACACCAAGAAAGCAAAAGATGAAACGATAAAAATGCCCAAGATATTCATAGTAATTCCTCCTTGTCGTGCCAAAAAAAGCAGCATGGATCTATGTATGCTCTCTTACGTTGAAAATAAGCTCCCATATCTCATGGCATACGTAATTACGCTGCATGATTCAGATGTCTTTCACTTCATGCATATGTTTTTTTGTAGTTGGAGGAGATGTTGGAGGAGAAGGTGCGACCTTACATGCAAGATCCAAGCACGGCCGTTCTTCCTCAACCCATCTTGCTAAAGTCCCATAAGAAAGATCAAAAGGTTACTCCTCACTTACTTTGCTTTCCTTCCTGTTGTCATCAATGATAAAAATGCAACCTTTCAACAATGCTTGAACCCTAGCCTCGTCATGATGCCAAAGTATAACCTTGCCTTGCCACCATTCCAGTTGGATTTTACTTAGATGATGGACTGATTCACTAGTTTCTAACTAACACCCTGAACCCAAAATCGCCTCATAGTTCAACAATTTAGCAAATCTATGAATTATCTCACTGGTGTTTCCTGTCGGATCACAAGGGGAAGATGCTGTCCTGGAGAAAGAACTTAGGAAAAATGTTGAATCAGATCATGGGTCACTGTCTCTAGAGATCATTGATCAGATCATGGCCTGAGAACTCCTGATAACTAGGAAAGATATCATTTTTGCTACATGTAATGCCGTGCCCATGTAATGAAACACCGTGTGCTTTGACCATTCAATCAATCTTCTTCCATGTCTGAAAACAAGATCTTTTGTCTTCTTTTGTCTGAGACAGGGAAATAAGCAGAGGAGATGGTGGTTCTTCTGACCAGTTCAACCTCGAACAATCTAAAAGAATCAAAAAAAGAAAGTGAAAGGAGAGTGTATTTGACGTTATTGCTCCATGATTTGCCGTTGAAAAGCAATGGTGGGGGGTCCGAGACACACAAGCGTATGAATCGGATTTGTCAGTTGGTCACTGTTTTTGAAGTTCAGTTGCCGACACTTGGCCGATTCGTAGCGTAGGCTCCGATGCCATTCTTATCTGTAGAAATCATACGTGGGGTCCTTAACCTTACGATACGTTTCTCTGAACGGTCACGTGTCCTTTGTAAGAGCGTCTTTGAGTTAAAATGCCATTGTCATGTCCAAATCACTTGGAACTACGTTGAATTCAGTCGGTGCCGTACAACTCTTGAATTTGAGCCACTGTGTTGGACCAACTTGATGCAAATTTACCTTTTTGGATTATCGTGGGTATGTGTATATTTATGTTGTATTATATGCATGTACATATCGTAAAGAAGATGTATAAACTTTGTATGATGATATATATACACGTACGTAACGACTGTTTAAGGATCCCTAGACGGTCAGTCACCACGTATAAATTGCGTCAGCATGCATTGATTGGCATCCAGCATTTTTTATGGACATATTCGAAAATAGTAAATACACTCGTATCTGGGTCATGTTCATGTGTCACAGGAGGAAAAAGGGACAATCTTTACGTGAATGGTTTTTGACAAAGGTAAATAGATGATGAAGCATCCGCTGACGTGGAGCTTCCTCATTCGGTTTAGTATATCTATTTATTTATTTGACAATCTAAATTTATATACATCGATGCTTTACGAACCTATAGATGAGAACATATACCATTTTGTTAGCGGTCACAACAGTCTTTTTCAATTGCAAATGATCATTTTCTAGTGCATTCCTCTAGAAGAAGAGATAAATTTGGTATTATATATATTTATTGTCATATTACTACGCAGAAAAAATATGTGAAATTCCAATTATATGTATGTATATATAATGTTTTAGGCCTTTTTCTGCCATTTTTTGAAATTATCCCTACAATCTTATAAATATATATAACAATGCGATGTTACATAACACACACGAATTCAAACTATAATAATGACACAAGATAATAATAAAAAATGAAATAAGTCTGGACCCATGTTTATTAAACAGCCATAAAAACGGTCAAAGCTACACTTAATGCTGCAGTAACTGACATAACGGCCAACACGCTCCCTGACGACTTCTGCGACTGCGATGGCGACGGCGCCGAGATGTTGCCGGAGATTCCTGGAGTTTCCGGTGGTGGAGCTGTGATGGGTGATCCCGGTGAAGGAGTTGGCGGGCTTGGAGGAGAGGACTTCGGTGGAAACTCCGGCGAGTGAGCAGGTGGAGTTGCCACCGGCGAGACTTTCGGAGACGGAGGTTTAATCGGGCTTGATGATGGAGACGGATACGACGGCGTAGTTGACGGAGATATCCCCGGAGCTAACGGCTGAGAATGGGTGGGTGATTGAGAAAAAGGGGACGGAGACGACGGTGTAGTTGACGGAGATTTCGCAGGAGATAACGGCGGAGAATGGGTGGGTGAGTGAGGGAAAGGAGACGGAGACGACGGCGTAGTTGACGGAGATTTCTCCGGAGATGTGGTCGGAGATTCGGTGGGTGGGTGAGGAACAGTAGAAGGAGAAGACGACGGAGTTCCCATAGACTTCGTCGGAGCTAACGACGGAGAACCGGAGGGTGAAAGAGAAACAGGAGAAGGAGAGGACGGCGGAGTTACCGGAGGCTTCAACGGAGCTGAAGCCGGCGAACCAGATGGTGAGTGAGAAATAGGGGAAGGAGACGAGGGTGGCGTCGACGGAGAACCAGAGGGTGAAATAGGGAAAGGAGAAGACTTAGGCGGAGGAGTTGAGGGAGAAACAGGGGAAGAAGATTTCGGCGACAGAGCAGACGACGGAGACTTCCCCGGCACGGCGGTGTGAGGAGGCTGAGCCGGCGGCGGCTTCGTCCTGACGGCCATTACGACAACGATCAGTTTCTGCCCTTTCTTGCAGCGATCTTCATTACCACTGATGAAATAAAACGGACCAGACCGATCAAACACGAACTCAGAGTCTCCATCTTCCATTTTCGTGATGGGGTTCTTGGCGTTGCAGCTTTCGTAATCGGTCTTGCTCACCTGAAGAACCGAATCCGAACCCTTGGGATACTTAAAATCTGCCAAAATAATCAGCTTTGCATCAAATACCCATTTGATCGATCAAAACGGTGAAGAAAATCCAGAAAACGAATATGAAACAGAGGACTTACGTAGAGTGTCGTGAACTCTAAAACGGTTTCTCCCGGCCCATATGTTGTAATTTTCCGGCGGGTTCGCGACCCATCCGCCGTTTCCTCCGACGTAAAACCGGCGAGATTCGGCGGCGGAGAAGAACACAGAGGAAACAAAGATCACAAAGAAAGAGACCGTTCTCACATACAGCCCCATGATTGCAGAAGAAACAGATGACAGAACTGAAGTGATGACGATATGAGACAAGGGTCTGTGCGCGTGCGCGTGTAGTGTATATATATATATAGAGAGAGAGAGGGGGGGGGGGG